CAATCCTCACAGGGTGGCCTGGCTGGCAGCTGGGTGTACAGTTTGCCCTGAAAGATCTTCATCCTTCTCTAATTGTTCACGTTTACTTTTCCTTTGTCAGCAGTGCTGCGAAGCCTTGGCGGCATCATTAATGCAACTCTAGTGCTCTGGAGTGAGGAGGGGGCTGCCTGGCTGCTGCTCCTCTTCCTGCCCTGAAATGGACGTTCTTTTATTGCCCATAAATCTCTGCACAGTTCTCTGTGAAGACAAATCGGAGGCCTCCTGGTCCCTTGTGTTTGTTGGGCCGGTCGGTGGCGGGTTTAATTGGGTCTCAGCACTCTCGGGCGCAGCTCTGGAGAGTTGAGGGGCAGACCACGCCATGCTGTGTCTGCAAGGGAGCAGTCCTCTCTCTGCCCTCTTGCTTTGTCTAAGGGAATTGAGACTGGTCCACATGAGAGAATAATATACCACTCCTCCTTCACACATCTGTCTGTGTGGGTACCACATGCGTGGCCCGCTCTTGCCCATGTAGCCCTGCAGCAGCCCAGGTCCATGCTTGCCCGGGCAACCTCAAGCAGAGCCTGTCAGCCCTCAGGAAGCCTTCCCTTCTGTGGCTTCTATTGTAACAGAGTGGGTAGCTAATAGATGCACAAAGCAGCTAGATGCGTAGATGAATGGGACCCTGCCTCTCCCTGCCTGTGCCGAAGCATGAAGGGTGATGCTCCAGGCCCAGCCACAGTACTGGCTAAGAGGACAGTGTCCAAATGGAAGCTGGACGCCTGCTGATACTGTTCAGCCTGCAAGCCCCCTCGTGTGTAATATGCTATTTGAGCCAGGGAGATTGTGTGTGTGTGTGTGTGTGTGTGTGTGTGTGTGTGTGTGTGTGTGTGTGTGTGTGTGTGTGTGGTGGATTGCCCTGCTGGTGTGCCCACAGAAGTGAACTGTGTGTTGATAGCTGGCTGGGCCCAGTCCAGTTCCCTTCCACCATTGGCTATGTGACCTTGGAGGCCCCTTGCCCCCCTCCCAAACCCAGAGTGTAAGGGCCAAGAAGACAGGCTATGGGTTGGCCTTGGAAGGTGAGTGGCTGTATGGAAAGGGCTCAGACACCATGGAGGTGCTGATTTTAAGGTTAAATCCACAGTGGCTTGAGATGACTTTGGGGCCATACAACCGGATAAGTAATTGCAGTGGTCACATAGTCACCATGGCCTAGAGTGTTGTCTTCCCTCCCAAATGACATGCCAGGGTGCCCAGCACAGAAGAGAGGTTGATATCTAGAATTCTGTGACATTTCTGTTCCAGTGTCCTGGGGCAAGTCTAAGTTCATAGCCACTATGTAAACAAGTGTGACCTCAGGTTCGTTCCTCTTCAAACATGTCTCCTCACTCCTCTGGTCTTCAAACAAGGCATATCAGTGGTGTCCCTGTGGGGCCTTCACACCCCATGCTGAGGAAGCAGAGACCTGGGGCATGGCCTGTGGCTAAGGCACACACACGCCCCCCACACTGTGAGGAGGGACTCCCCACCTTGCTGCAGCTCCCCCTCTGTGCCCAGCTGATCTGACAAATTCTCACTTCTCTGCAAACATGTTTCTGGCATGTTTTCAGTCTCACTGGGCACTAACTGGACATCGACTGCTGCACATTCTGCCGCTTCTATTATTTCAGAGTTAATTTAGGGATTCAAAAGTAATTCTCCCAATTACTGTGCCAAGTCCCACCAGCGAGATAAACGGGGCAGATGTTCCTCCAAGTCCAGCTGTGCAGCCCTGAAGCACTTCTGGGACACCTTGGTCTCCCGAGGACCTGCAAGCACACCTCACCACCCTCCGAGGGTCCTGAGTGACCTTAAGAGATCCAAGCTCTGACGCCAGTGCCTCAAGGGTGGCTTGCACCAGACCCATTTCCCAGGATAGCTATAGCCACTTCGAGCCAGGCTCCAGACGTCAATCTCCAGAAATTATGCTCCGTGGTGTGGCCTTGGCAGGGCTTGGGACACTGAGCCAGGCCTGTGAACAGGGAAGGGTTCTATCATAGGGAGCCCTGTGGTTGGCCTGGAAACCTTGGAAGGGGGCCAGGTGTGTCCATGGTAAAGCAGTGGGCACCCAAGGGGGGGCTGACACTCTGCACAGTGCTTTTGCATGGCTTTAATTAGCTTCCTGCACAAACCTCAGGAACCCAGAGACCTAGGCTGGACACCAGCCAGTGGCCCAATTGATGCCCAGAACCTTACCTAAGGGAGCTAGCTGAGCCAAGACTGGGTGGATAGGGGTAAATAGGGTTGGGGGGGCAGAGTGGAGTCCTGGGGCTTTGGCCCAACCCCCACCTCTTCCAGGTCCCTCCCCATCACCGGCCGGTGATCTCATCCATTCCTGGGCTGTAAATATCACCCAAATGCTCACGACTCCCAAATGTGTCCTCCAGCCGGGCCCCTCTCCTGAGCTCAGCCTGCACAGCCCACGCGACACCCCCGCCCAGATGTCTCCTGGGCTTCAACAAGCCGCTCCTCCTGGAACCCCCTCCTCGGGGACAGGCACCCCTTGCCGGCTGCTTAGGGCAGACGCCTGGGAGCCCTGCCCACCGCCTCCAACCATCCTGTCAAGTCCAACTTGAAACACATCCCCTGCCTTTTGGATCACCCACCCCTCAGGTCTGGCCCCTTCCTGTGCGCAGGCCCCACAGTGTACACCACTGCCAGAAGAGCTGTCTCAGAAAATATAGACCCTGTCCACTCCCCCTTGAGACAGTTAAAAAAGGATGCATTCTCTCTCTCTCTCTCTCTCTCTCTCTCTCTCTCTCTCTCACACACACACACACACACACACACACACACACCTCCGACCACTGCCTGCACACCCTGTCCCCTGCCTCACCCTTAGCCTTCATGCCACCTTCACTGGCAGCCTGGTTAGACCGCTGTCTCCACTTCATAACATGTCCCAGATTTCTCTCTTTGAGGAGGGGAGCGTACAGAGCCTCAAGGGACAGCAGGGTCTGTAGAGGCAGGACCCAAGTGATGCATCTCAGGCTGTTAGCCTGGTTACAATACATCATGTGGCCCCATAGGCTTCTTTGCCATCACTGGGGGTTGGCTTCCAATCCCTACCTGTAGGCCAGCTGTTGGTAACAGAAACAGAAAGTGGCCTGAGGCCAGATATGGCCTGTCAGTGTGGAGTAAGCACAGCATAGGTAGTGAACTCCCTGTTCCTAATGGCATATGAGCTGAGACGGGACCCTCTGTCCTGTAAGCCACTGAAAGTACCGGTATCTGCTGTAGATGGCCAGCTCAGGCCCCTAAGGTTCTTTGGTCCTGGCTTACATTTCAGAAAACAGCCTTACCTCTAAGCTCTGCCCCTCCCCTGGACTCAGCAGGCTCGGCTGGTTTTCTCAAATAGGCAGGAGCTCCTTAAGGGTGGGGTGAGGGTTGATGAAGACCCCTATCCACCAGGCGCAGGCCAGTAGCCTCCTAGGGTGCTGGGAAGGGCTGATGGTAACTGTCCTCTTCACAGGCTGTGCACAGAGCAGCCTCTGCTAGGGCTGTGAGGGCGAGCAAGGTGTTGGTGGATGTCTCCTAAGGGAGAAGGGCTGGCAGACCCTAGGCAAGCAGTGATCTCACCTGTGAGACCTGCTCCAATTGCAGCATCCCCAGCCTTGGGACCAGCAGTGATACCCAGGCCTGGAGCTCAGGCCAGAGTCCACTGGGCAGAAGGACAAATTGCAGGTGTAAATGTAGGCAGCCATGTGGGTACATGCAGTAGCACCAGCAGGCCCTGCCCCGGGGGGTTCCTGGAAGAGGCTCCCTGCTGAGGAAGGGCAAAGCCAGACAGGGCCTCTGCACCCCACCTTTGCCCCCAGCCCCTACTCAGATGGCGATTGCTGAGCACATCCCCCATGCCAGCCTCCTCCCCAAGTTTCTGGATCCCTGGCCGCCCCCATGGCCATCTGGCTCCCCAGTTCCCTCCCCCAGTGCCTGCATTTTTCTCCTCCCTTTCTCCCAGCTTTTGCCCTGTCGGGGAGGCAGACCCCATTCCTGTTCCCCTCACCACTACTTCTACCCAGGGTTTTCTGACTGAGTGACTTTCCCTTTTGTCTCTGAGGCCTTTGCAGCCCGGGCCTCAGGGAATCACACATGACTCTTCTTGTCTGTGCTGTTTTTAAGCACATGCGCACACACGTGTGTCTGTGCGGCTCTGCTCTGCCATGTGTGTCTGTTATGTGCGCACGTGTGTTCTTGGGCACGTTGCTCCTCAAGGGCTGTGGGGTGCTGTCAGTCTCCCAGGCATGAGGGCTGTGACCTAGGGCAGCGATATGAAGGTGCACACAGTCCTTTCATGATCTTGAATCCACCTCATTCCTGGTCATTCTCCAGCAATGGGAGCATGGTCTTTACATCTCACTCTCAGCCTTCTCCTGAGCTGGACAATCCCAGAGTAGATGTCCCCAAAAGATAGCCTGTTCATAACCACGTAGAGCTGGGCAGTAGTCAGCCCAGCTCTCATAGAAGTTGGCTGAGCTCAAGGATGCCAGCTATGGGACAAACTCACTGGTGCAGCTAGCAGACGGCGAGAATGTCGTTTCACTCCTGCATGTGACCCCCCCCCCTTCAGCCCAAACTGCCCCACCAGTGAGGGTGGGCAGTTCTATCTCCTCTCGGGCCTTCTGTGCCAGTGTCTGAAGGAGATGCTATGCTGGGACCCACCCTCGTTTCTCACCACCCACAGTACCGCAGCCCAAGAGGCCACAGCTTAAGAAAAAAGCTCTTTATTCCACGTCATCCGATATTTTACACAAGTAAAATAAAATTCATATCTCTATATACCGCGATCCGGGTGGGAGGCGGCGTTCTGGAACAAACGCCACCCCCGGAACCCTGTAAACATGATGGGGTGGAGATGGGGGTGGGCTGGTGGGGAGGCATCTGTCAGGGAGGGCCTGGCCTGCCCCACGGGACCTGTCCCTGGCTCTGGCTGGCGGCATGGAGGGAGACCCCATATGTACACACACCTGGTAGCTGGTGTCTGGTCAGCAAGGCCCGAGCACTGTCCAGAGTATCAGTGCAAGGCCCACAGGAGCAAGGCTGCAGGCCAGAGCAGGCAGGGCGCCTGAACCCTCTGCTTCCCCGGCTCCACTGCTTCCACTTCCTGCCTGGCCCAGACGGCAGTGGCTGCGGGGGCGGGTCTTTCGGGAACAACCTGGCCTCCTGCGGGGACCGGTGGTGGGCAGTCCTGGTGACTCGGATCCCCCGGGTGCGATTCTTTCGGGAACAACCTGGCCTCCTGCGGGGACCGGTGGTGGGCAGTCCTGGTGACTCGGATCCCCCAGGCCGCACAGCAGTCAGTGGGGGCTCTGCGGAGCTGGGCAAAGTCCCAAAGGGAGAGTCATTGATGTGCCGTGGGCCTGAGCCATTGCCTGGTGGAGTGTCACCAGGAGGTACACGTCCCTTAAGGGCATTGCCAGCAGAAGCTGGCCGCCCGGGTTCCAGAACTGAGGCTTTGTCGGCAGCGTCCGGCTGGCAGCACTTGGGGAGGCTGAGCAGCTCCTCATCAGTGAGCTGAGTGGTCAGGATGGGGCGGAAGGGCCCCGAAGCCACAACACAGCCCTCTAGGTCACTGGCAGCCAGGCGCTTAAGATCATGGCTGGCCAGGCGTGGGGGCAGGCTGCAGGGCACCTCTGACGAGGAACCTCGGAACTTCTGCAGCCAGGCCCAGAGTGGACGTGCCCGGCAGTCACACACCCAGGGGTTGTCGTTGAGTCGCAGGTACTGCAAAGATCTCAGGGGCACTAGGGCCTCTGCGGGTAGCATGGAGAGGTTGTTGGCAAATAGGTAGAGGGTCATGAGGCGGCCGAGGTCCTGGAAGGCATGTGGATGCACACGAGCCACATGGTTCTGGTGTAAGAGGAGGCGGTCAAGACTGTGCAGGCCGCGGAAAGCATGCTCAGGCACGCTGGGGATGCGGTTGCCATGCAGAAAGAGGTGTGTGAGGTTGCCCAGGTCACGGAAGGCATTGTCAGGCAGTGCCTGCAGATTGTTGTCTTGTAGGTAGAGGTACTGCAGAGCTGCCAGTCCACGGAACAGGCCGGGACCCAGCTCCTGCAGGCCGCATCGGTCTAGGTGCAGCGTGTGCAGGTGGCCCAGGCCATGGAAGGTGGTGGGGTCCACAGTACGGAGCTGTGCATTGTCACTGAGGTCTAGTTGCTCCAGGAGGGTCAGGCCAGTGAAGGCAGTGGCATCAATCCGGGCCAGTGCATTGGAGTGCAGCCACAGGATAGTGAGATTTCGGCATGAGTGGAAGCTGGCAGCTGGCACGTGAGAGATGCGATTGCCATGCAAGAAGATTCTCTGGCTGGAGGCTGGGATGCCAGTGGGCACAGCCTGCAAGCCCTGCTGGGGGCAGCTTGTTGTCACCTTGGGCTCATTGTAGCACACACAAGCACCAGGACATGGTGCCGCTACCCGCCAGGCCTGTAGCCATAACACCCATGCCAGCAGCCGGCTTCCTGTAGACAGAGGAAAAGGTGATCAGATAGGGGCCCCAAGGGGTGGGAATTGATGCTGGAACAGTTCTCCTTGGGTTGGCCTCGGGGAACTGGGCAGAGCCTAAAGGGAGCCAACCCTGGGAATGGGGCTATAGGACCTCTACCTTCCACAACATAGAGACAATGCTGGGCTGTAAGTTGTCCTTGGAGGCACATATTCCACACTGGTGATCATGTCTGCACCCCCAACCCTCATGCCACCCTACCTACACACCTGTTGCTCACCCCCATAGGGTTACCCCAGTCGGTCACCAAAAACATGTATCTAGAAGGCCTTCTGGGGTAGTTGCATACACCATCTCAGGACTCCAGGGCACACAGTCCCAAATCAGCCCCAGCAGGCTACAGGGTAAGATGGAAGAAGGGGAGTCTGAAAACACCATAGCAGCAACGGACTCATCCCTAGGCCTGCCGGGTCCCTTGGCACAGGCTGCAGAGGAGGGACTGAGGCTCACAATCCACACCCTGCCCAGGCTCCTCCAGCTCTTGATAACCTCTGGCAGCTGGAATTATAGGGAACCCCCTCATGCCAAAATGAGAACTATGCTTGAGCCCCTGGAGGGTTCGGTCTGTCTGTAGGGGTCTCCTGAGGCTTGGGGTAGGTCTCCTCACTAGCACCTCTGCTATCTGAGGAAAAGGAGCCTGAGTGTGGGGAAGGTGGGGAGGGAGGAAGGGCTTCTCCTAGGCCCCCAGGGCAGGCTGCTCCCTCCTCCACACAGCCTCCCTTTTAAGCACTTCCTGACTTGGCTCTGAACACCTTCTGCAGCCTCCTCCCCCGGCCTCATTCTCTGCTCCACCCCTTCCCAGCCTTCCTGCCCATCCCTGTTGCCACCCTACTTCTCTTAGTGGCCCCAAGGCATCAGGCCCTATTCTAAGTCCTTGGGCCAGATATACCCAGGTGTGGCCAAAGACCTATATTCACAGCAGTAGATGCTAGGGCTGGGGTGCCAAAATTCCTAGGAAAAAGCTCCTTGCCTTGCCCTGTCACTAGAGCCCCATCCATTTTGAATGCTGAAGGCTCTTTCAGGAGTGAGTCTATTAAAATGTGAATCCCCCTGGGAGGGTTATGGCTTATCAGCTAACACCGTCATTGACAGCTAACACCTGTGTTGACAGCTAACACCTTTCTTGGCAGCTAGCTAAGAGCAGGATACTGCAGACAGGAGGCCAAGGCTGGCTAACTGCTTGGAGTTGGGAAAAGACTAGGGGCCAGCCTTCCCTACCCAGTGTTGGCCTCTGGGGACTTCTACTTCACACTGGGCCCCTTACCATAAAGGGTCCTCTTCTGCATGATGCAGTCTGTTGCTCTAAATCCCAGGCCCCACAGGGCAGGCAAATCTAACAGCCCAGCATTCAGGCTCTGGGAGCCCTCTTCTCAGACTCAGTGACTTTATTCAATGAGCTTGGGTTTGCTGGGCCTAGGGTCATTTATTGGCAGCTGTGGTGGCAAGACAGGCCCAGGAGCCCCCAATCCACGGATGCCTGCCCCCATCATGCCCCAGGATGGTCATGTGTGTGGGCTGCACTTGGGCCTGAGGCTCTGTCTAAGCAGCCTCTCGAATTCTCTTCTTACATGCCCCCCTCCCCGACAGTGGGGTATGGCCACGTCAGCACCCCTTGATGCCTTAACTGCTATCACAAGAGGACACCATGCCTTGTGCATAGCACTTCCTGGTCCTGACCTCAGGACCCAAGGCTGGGTAAGTAGGGGCTTCATGCACCCAGGGTCTGGCTGGAGGTTTTACTGCCATGGGTGACTGGGGGGGCACTATCAGCCCAGCCACACCACACACTGCCTATCACCTATGCTGCCACACATGCACTGAAGGCACCACCAATTTCTGTGCCATCCATCACACCAGTGGTAGACTGTAGCTCCCAATCGATAGCTCAGCTGCGGTCAGTGGGGGGTCCAGGGCTGCCCCACAACAGGGAGGTGGCCAATCAGAGGAGTGGCTGTGTGGTGCTCAGTCTTGCCAGGCAGAAGGTAAAAGACACAGCTGAGTTCCTGTTGGAAATCAACTTCCCAGAGGCGGCCCTTCTCACCCACCCTGTGAGCACAGGGGCTGGGGTAGGCTCTTCTGCTGTAGCCACAGTAATTGGCTCCAGCCTGGCCCCCCTTGGGGCCTGCCCGCTGGTCTCCATGGCAACCCCTGCGCTGAGCAAGCATGAGGGGGCATCTTTTTATGAGATAATCAAACCCAACTTTGCAGCATAGCTTGTGTTCACAGCAGGAGTTTGGGGAAACACTGGACACCTGACCAGGCCGTGAGGGTGATCCCTAACCCCACCCCAGGGCTGCCATATTCAGTCTGTCTGCCACTTTGCCCGGCCTGCTTCCGCTCATCCTTGTGGTTTCTGTAGTGCTTTGAGCTACAAGGCTTCTGAACTTCAGGTCTGGACCCCCTCCACCCTCACATTGTTTTCACTGTAAAACCTGCCCACAGATTCCGTTTGAGACAGCCTTCCTTTTGGGGAGCAGTCTGGCCCTCTTGCCCCGACCCCCATCCCCTACACCTGCCAGTCTCTTTCACGTTCCCATTCTCAGAAGGCACTTGGCATGCACTCGTGGCAGAAAGTGGTTGCGGGGGGTCCATCCCTCTCACATGGGATCCATGAAGAGATCCCTCAGGACACTGCAGCCACTTGAGCCGGCCTTAAAAGCTATGCACAAAGTGATATTTCTCCAGCTATACCCAAGTCAATTTTCATCAGATTTGTATGGGGGTCTCCTCCAGGGCTTTTCCGTTGGGACTCACTAGCTGTTGGAACTGGGTCATGGCCAGTGGCTTCTGGCTTAGCTCAGGTCATCTAGGGAGCCACAGGGACATGAGGGTGAACGTGGGAAACGGCTGGCTTCCTAGTGCACATGGCCTGGAGATTCCCCAGGCAGGGCAATAACTAGACATACAGCCAGGGGTTCTCCTCCACCTGGGGCAGCCAGATCAGGCAGGATACAGCCACTGGCATCTGTACCAACAGATGTGATTCAAAAGCCCAGAGTCACATTCATTGAGGAAGGAGTAGGGGGAGGGAGGAAGAGGGAGATGGGAGAGAGGGAAGAAGAGGAAAGAGGAGGGGGGAGGAAGTAGGAGGCAGAAAGAGGGCAGGGGCAGAGGGAAAGAAGCCAGAGGATGTGAAGAAGGAAAAAGGGAAAGGGAGGGGCCAGGTGGGGTGGAGGATTCTGGGGCCTTGCCCAGCAGCCACTTGAGCCAGCAGGCAGGCACTGCTGAGGTCAGCAGCTCACCTCAGCAGCCCAGTGAGCTGAGACTGCCTTCTTTAGCATCTTCCCAGCCCAATGTGTTCTTGCATTCTCTCCACCACCACCCTAGCCTAGCCTGACATCCTGTGGAGATGTCCTCTCGTCCTTACAGACCCAGGGCACTGACTTTGCTCCTTCTACACAGCTGGGTGCCCTTGGGTCCTGATGTTGCTCTCAAAGGCTACCCCCACGGATTCTGGAGTGCCACAGAGAATCTCATTCTCTTTCCATCACCAGCATCTATTTACAGATGAGGGAACTGAGGCAGAGTGGCAAACCCTGCTCCTACACTGAGGCAGTTTAAAAGGAAGGAGAGGTGAGGGTGGTGGCGTGGGCTACCTGGAGGGCTGTCAGGAAAAGTCTAGTCAGCTCATGAAGGACAACTGTTACACGACCAGGACAGCCAGTGGGCGCTGGACTTCTGGCCTGCCGGACAGGCTCTGGGGCACAGGGATCTGCCATGCTAGCTACAGTTGGGAAGATATCTTCATGGGTGTACTGAGCTGGGGTCAGAGACTATAGAAGTGGCTGGATTGCTGAGGCAGTCCAGAAGAGACCACACTTACAAGGCAGAACAGGTCAGCATACATGACCAGAAATAGCTCTGGTAAAAGAGGGTGGAGGGACCAATGTCATCCCCCCCTCCCACTGCAGAGAGTCAAGGCATCCTTCCCTGGGCCCACTCCCCACAGCACATCACTACTGACCCCCACCTCGTCTGTACCCTCATCTTCACTCACCTCTCTCTCTCTCTCTCTCTCTCTCTCACACACACACACACACACACACACACACACACACACTGCCCACCTTCTACCCATACTTGGGCCCACAGACAAGTGCAGTGACAGCTTGAATTCACACTATGCTTCCTCCCCAGAGCAGTGATGGGGACAGGAAGATGGCAGCAGCTTCCACAGAGGCCAGCTCACCCTGTATCTCCTGTGGGTGTGGCCACTAGCATCTGCTGTCCTGTCCTGGTCCTTTGATGCCTTGTTCCTTATTGATCTTGACTATAGAGCAAAACAAGCAGGTCAGGTCGATAATGGGTAAGGTCACTTACCATGGTTGGCAGATACGAGATCCAAGCTGATATGCCTCAAACCGGGCCATAAGCAGTGGGGAAACTGAGGCCTGGAGTGTGTCCTAGCTGCTTGACATCATATTGCGACTGGAGCAGCGCTGTTGAAAACGGCTTTTGACTGTGCCAGGTCATCCTCGTATCCTCAGAGAACCTACCTGCCCCCCCACCACACCCCCGTGCTGCAATTGAAGACATGCACCACCATGCCCGGCTCTTTTATTTTTATTGCTGAGACACAGGGACATGAAGTTGCCCAAGCCGTCTTTTAACTCTTAACCTCAGCCTCCCGAGTAGCTGGGATTACAGGTGTATGCTACCAGTCTTTCCGAGGAATTCATTTTCGGTTCTAGTCCCATTATCTAAAGGGCTCTAGAGCCTCACCAGGTCCGGCAATATATTCTACTCTGACACTCACCTCCTGAACCCTGCCCTGTGAACTCTGCTCTGTGGGCCTATGCGACCAAGCACCTACAGGTTCTGCCTGGCTGAAGCCCATCCAACCCGGAGACTCAGTGTTCCCTCCCTGACAAGAGGCTAGTTGCTCCCATCAGGTGACCAGCAAACACCTGCTGCTTAATTACCTGGCTCCCACCCCAGGCCTTTGGGGACCTGCTG